ATTCGCTCCTGCAGGCGGTTCCATCAGGTTAGGGAAGGGGATGGGGGAGGAAGAGGCAGGGCTGGCGACCTAATCCATCTCCATGTATTCATTCACTCACTCGTTCATTCCATCATGCTTTTAGCAGACAGCTCACGAGTGCCCGCTGCCTGCCCCGGGGCTGCTGCAGGGAAGGTGCATCACCCAGAAGGGGCATCTCGTCTGGCTGAGGGCTCCACCTAGATGTTTTAAGCCCTCCAGGGGACCTCCTGGTCCCTAAGCATGGAATACCCTCTGTCCATCCATTACCCCCTTCTCTCCTCACTTCTGATGTCCCCATTGGGAGAGGAGATGGCACATCCTGCAGTTTCTAGGAGCTAGGGGGACAGGCAGTGGTGGCCACATGGCTTCAGTTTGGCCCTGGGCTTATTCCTGTTTGTGCAAAATGTGGACACGGGGGACCATCCCTGAGTTCAGGGGCTAAAACAGGCACAGAGCCTGACTCAGGGACCCAGCCTCCTTCTCCAAAAAAGAAGGACGAGACAGCTCGCAGCCTCCACAAGAGACGGCATCTCGGAGATAGTGGCCCTGCCCACTGTGTAGCAGCCCAAGGGACGAAGGCCTACTGGAAACCAGAAGCCCCGCCTGGCACTGCGCGCCCGGTTCAGGTGGCCCGCGGCCCTCCTGGCCACTCTGCGGGAGTACAGCAAGCTCCCGGGCAGGGCAGGGGAGCTGATCTGGTGCCACAGGCAGAGCAGACCCTCCGGGGAGAACTCGACGGTGCCAGTGAGTGGAGGCCCAAAGGCCTCCGCCGGCCTCAAAGCAAATCATCTTTTAATTCCAAAACACCAAATATTTAATTTATGCTCTACCTCAAATGTCAAGTGCACCTCCCGGCACATAGCTTCGAAACCACGTAAGGAGGCCTAACACTTTCCATATGGTGAAGACATGAGGCTTTTTAATTGTGCCAACTGGTATCAGTCAAGGGTAATTCCCCGGGAATCTGGCGCTCGGGCAGCAGCTGGGCCAGCCTCCAATCTCATCGCCGGGCCCTGCAGGGGCCCGCGGGCTCCAACCGGGCCTGCGCCCGCCCCATCTTCTTCCAGCACCGAAATGCACTAGGTGTCCCCTCATCAAATTTCCAAACCAGCTGGTGGCCACCTTTACTCCAAAGACTCCCTCAGGCCTCTGAGAGAAAAGAACAAAAGGGCCAAAGGGGGTTAGGGGGGGCCGCTGTCTCAAATGCATTTGCTCACACGTGTCCACGCCACATGAGTGTGCACACAGGCTCGCTTAGCTGAGTACTGTCCCACCGCTGTCTCTGTGCCAGGAAGCTTCCTGATTTCGCCCATCGTACTTTCCGGACCCACATTGTCCACCTGGTTTGCTTTTGTAACTGCCGGTTGCTGCCTCATGTTTCCAAGACCAGCCCCCTCCATCCTTCTGAGATTCGGATGCTTGTTTTAACCTCTCCCTGTGGAGGACATTGTTGTCGGGGGTACAAACAGTTCCCTTTGCCACTCTGCTTCCCTAGTACTCGTCCACCTTCACTTCCTCATTAGTTTTCTCCCCTGAGCTCACGTTCCCGTGGCGCTCATCCGCCTTGAGCCCACGGAGAAGAGAAGCCATAGCTTTGGCCTTGGCCTGCGTCCCTCCGAGTGAGTCTAGGGTGTGAACAAGGTGCTTTCAGAGTCGGCCCCTCGCTCCTGCTGCACGGGCATCTCAGCAAACCCCGCCCCCACCCCGCCCAGTTTCCAAGAGTTATCAGATACAACCAGTGCCTGGGATGATAATGTTCTTATGCCCACTTCACAGACGAGCTCATTAAGGCACACAAAGGGAAAACAGCTTCTACAAGGGGACAAGGTCTGTAGCAGATCCTGACCTCATGTATGAATACAGACGTATTCAGGGAGACAGGCTCAGGTCAGTGCCAGCGAGGTCACCTCTAACACCCTAGGACCTTGCGTGGGAGACAGACCCACCCTGAACATTTACTAGGCTACTCATACCCATCAGGGAGGACGAGGGCAAGAAGCAGACCCTCCTGCTTCAGAGCACCCCAAAACCTGCCTCACCCCGAAGGGCTCACAGCTGCTAGGCTGCCACATCTCCAATGAGGTACGTGCACCGCCCTCCGGACAGACGCTGTGGCACAGGGCTTTGCCATGCGTGGCTTCTGTAGACCTAGAAAATGATCCAGAAATGGAGAATAACATCCCCCACCAGCTGGCCGGTAACGTTACGGGGTTCCACGGAGGATTAAGATAAGGTAAGCAAAGTGCATGATACACACAGGCAGTTAATAAACATTAGTCGTCCATATAGTAATAATAATAATAATAATTGATGTGCCACTAAGGTGTCTGCAGCCACTTCGGTGAAAGGCAGTGAAGGAGTTGAGACAGAGGCCACCCCAGAGACAGGCCCTGGGCTGCTGGGGGGACCTCCATCGGCCCTTGGAGTGGGCAGACTTTGGAGCCCTCACCCTCCTATGTCCTGATGATGTCACAGGATGATGTCACAGGAGACCCTGCCGCTGGGAGTTGCAGAGCACGAACCTGCCTGAGGGCTGCCCAGCCCGGTTGGGCGCAGGACCTCGATGTTTCCTGAACGCCGGGCACTCCATTCCCATGTACACTGTTTGGGCCCCTTGCGCTTCATTGTTTTTCTTGGAGTCAACTTGAGACTCTCTCTTTTCACAAAGCGTCACCCTAGGCGACAATGCCTGTGAAATCATGGGTTTTGCATCCTAGTGCTTCTTCTCCTGATCAGAGGAAAAGGGAACTATTAGGATTAAAAATGATCCTCCGGGTGCCACCTGAAATTGCCTTGTGGGCCCGGGCAGGGGGCTCACCTGACCTCCCCCAGGGTGCACTCGCCCCTCTTCAGACTGAGCAGCTGGGCCAGCGCTGGTGGGAACCCAGGCGTCCAGGCCCCAGTCACCAAGCACAACTAGAAGGAAGCAGAAGTTCCCTCCCCTTAACATCTTGAAGCGCAGGGCCCACCCTCCAGCAACCAACATATGTCACCCTGATGGCTGTCTCACATCTTCAAACGTGCTTTGAACAAACATTAACGACCCCTCAGTGTGTCTCCGAGACAGGGGGCGAGGAGGGGGGGCGAGCCTCATCCCATGCTGCCCTCAGCTGGGGGAAGGAACCGGGCAACACAATCCCGTGACTTCACCAAAGCCACCGACTTAAGCTGGGGCCCCCTCCCCACCCTCCCTCACTTCCCCCCATGGCCACTTTTACTGGCTCACATTCCTTTCGCTGGGAACACTACTATTTAATTAAAAACGACAGACTTTTGTTTTTCTCTCCTTCCTTCCTCCTCCCTCCCATCCCGCAGGACTGGATGCCAAGGAGACCCACCAAAAACATGCGGGTAACATTTGTTACGGCTTTGAAGATAAAAGTCAGTTGAAGTAAGCCCTCGCTGTATTTCAAGTTTCCCCTAAAGCATGGAGTGAGCTGCCTGGCAGTTTAGGAAAGGAAAAAAGGCTGGGGGGGGGGGGGGGGCGGGGTGCAGGGAGTAGGGAAGACTGCAAAAAAAAAAAAAAAATGTCATTCTGCAGGAATACTTTGTAAAAATAAACAGGCTGAAAAAACCCCAAACGTGATTAATGGAAATCCACTCAGCTGGCCTCAGTCTTGAGCCACGAATGTATTTATTTGTCCGTATGGCTAAATCGGATCATTTTCATTGCGCTTTGAAAACACATGTAGATCATAAACTAGAAATGCTAGGGGAAGACTGGGACAGCTGGAGGTCTGTTTTCAAAGGACCCTAGAGTAACTCCAGTGCCCCGCCCACCAACGTTGACCCCTGCTAGGGGCAGCAGCTCCAATTCCACCCCAGCCTACAGGTGAACGAACACACGTGGGAGAGAAAGCTCCAGCTAAAGTAAGTGGAGGCAATGGAGGGGCAGAGGGGAGCTTCTCCCAGACGCAGAGGTTGTTTCATACGTGCACAAGAGACGGCTTTATCCACAGCCTCACTGCGTGATGTGGGCCCCCGCCACCGAGCTGCACCCAGCCCACCACTGAAACCCACCACTCAAACCCACACGCACACATCTGAAAACTCCACCGGCCCCTCCCCAGCCCACGGACAAGACCAAAGAACTACCCAGACCTGAGACGCAGTCTGTTCACCTCTAAGTTAAAAAAAAAAAAATTAAATGTCACATCAAAAAGTTGATTCATCCTTTGATCCTCCGCTTGCTTGAGTTCCACGCAGACCTTCTGAGAGCCCGTGCAGAGTTCCAGAGCTCAGAGGACATCTGTGAACACCAGTCCCAGGCCAGGATCTGGGGCTGGACTCACTCACTCCCCTGTCACATCTCTCTACTGCTCCCCCAGACACAACTCCAACCTCGGGGGCCCTCGGGAGCGGGCCCAGGCTACAGCAGAACGAGGTGCTCGCTCTTCTCATGGGCCTAGCTAGGGGGGTCTAGCGGGTCTCCTCAGTGCCCCCAAGCCCTGCCACCCAGATGGCAGTCTGCTCTACTGGGGTCCCCAGGCTGCTGGTACTGACTAGTGCCACAGGCACACGGAAGGTACTGGGAGGCCAGCACAGTCCCCTGCTCCACCCAGACACCCCTCCACGCCTGTCTCTCCCCTGAGAGGCACCCATCTGGTGCTCCCTCTCCCAGGCCCACCTCTCAGCCCACCTTTGCACGCTGGCCACTAAGACAAGGGAGTCAGAGCAGGTCCCCAAACCCCCGGTTCCCCAGCACAGATAAGCTTCCTCATCGACTGGACCTCTACCACCTCCCCACCTAGGACCTACGCCCCCAGGCAGTCCTCTGCCCCCAACCAGACGGGAGACTGCCACCCGTGTCATCTAAGGATCCTCAAGGCACGGGGTACAGGGGTATGATGGTGGGGCAGAGGCAGCTGAGAAGGGATTTCTGGACTTAGAAGCTGTGCCAAGAGGGTGCTAAAAGTTGGGGCGGGCGGGTTATGGAGACTCATCTCTGAGAGTGGAAGAGGGTCGCGAGGGGATCGTACCCGGGCTCCTCTGCCGACGGTGCCCGCCGCCCGCAGCTGTCGGGGTCCGGAGCTGCCGCCCGGGCAGCGCTGCCTGCCGATCCACTCCTCAATGCCTTTCCGGGCCCAGGCGGCACTCACTGCGAAGCTGTCACCTGGGGCGAGATGACAGGAGTCCCTGAGTCCGGCCCCCGGGGCGAAAGTTACCGGAAAGAGGAGGGAGAGAGCAGACGCGGCCCGCGGAGGCTACGGGGGCCGGGAGGGGGTCGAGAGCCCGGGTGCAATCCCAGAGGGGGACGCGGGCAGTCCGGAGAAGGGGTTCCACGGAGTCCCGAGAGCAAGAAGAGCAGTACCCACTGAGGAAGAGTCCGGGAATCAGAAGAGCGAGCCCCGGAGGCCAGGACTGCCGAGGAAACGGGGTGAGGGTCTGGAGACCGGTGCGTTAAACACGGGGTGAGGGGAAGTGGGGAACTGAGGGTCAGGAGAAGGGGCGCAGTGGGCGCAGGAGCCAAGATCGAGAAAGAAGGGCCTGAAGGGCAGAAAGAGAGGGGACGGAATCTTGGGGGAAGGAGCTTAGGAGTCTGAACAGGGGGCGCAGTGAGCGCGAAAGGCGGGGACCGCGAGATGAGGGGTTGGGGCTCAGAACAGGGGGCACGGGACACCGGGGAGAGGGTAGGCGGGACAGAGAGGGGTCACGAAGGCTGCTCCAAGAGCGGGTTTGCGGGGCTAGTGGTCAGCCAGAGCTGGGGGTGGGGGTGGCCCTGGTAATGAGATCCCGCGGGCTAGGCCATTCCATCCATTCCCCGGGTCCATGCCCCGCGCGCCCCTACCTTCCGGGCTCTCCCTGCGCTTGCACACGGCGGCTGCAGCACATCGCGCGCGGCGGCGGCGGCGGGAGCCGGAAAGAAAGGAGAGGCAGAGAGTCAGCAATCGCCGGGGCGAGGGCGGCGGGGGCCCGGGGGCCCGGGGGCCGGCGCGCGGGCGGGGACACTGACCCGGCTTGGAGTGAAGTTTCCCCATGCTGGGGGCGCGGCGGGCGGGGGCGTCCCTAAGCCATGCGCCCGGCCCGCGGGCCCCGCGGCTCTCCGCCCCTCGCCTGACTCTCCTCCTCCGGGAGCAGCCCCCCGAGCCGAGCGGAGCCCGAGGCGGCGCCGGGACCAGCTCCTGCCGCCGTCGCCGCTGCCCGACTGACGCCCGGGCGTGCGGAGCCCCCAGCCCGCCGCCGCGGCCCGCGCCTCCCCGCGCACCCATTGGCGGGGCGCGGCGCATCAAAGGCGAGGCGGGCTGCCGAGGGGGCGGGGTGGGGCGTGGCCAATGGGCTGGGGGCGGGGCGCAGCAAAGTGCTGCAGGTCCGACACAGCGCCCCCTCCAGGCTGCACTTTACGTCCCCCAGCCGGGTGCCAGGAGCTGGAGACCCTAGGCTGGAGACCGGGTTTGGGGGCTCTGGCCAGCAGGCATTTTGGGACAAACACCCTCTTGGGTCCTGCCGTCTCTAGGGCAACCGCTCCTGTCGCTACGTGCCTTCTGTCCGCTCTATTCTTCCTTCAAGCGCTCTGGGCGGGACTCAGAGGCTCCAGTTCACATGTGATGAAACTGAGATGTAGAGGGGGCCACTGCCCTGGCGCTAGCGCCTGCTGCGTCGCCCCTTCCCAGTCTCCCTACGACCTGCCTTCACAGAGAGCGTTCACTTATTACTCGCCGCATGCCCCCTGCCTCACTCTCTAGGTTTTGGTTTGAGAGTCCAGGAAAAGCCCCCACGACGCCACCAGCCAGTTGTGGACCCAGCCCATTCCTGGCGGCGACAAGTGTCCGAAAAACGGGAGTTGCTAGCCAGTCGCTGGGATCCCATCGCCAGGAGGCCTGTGGGTGCCCGCCTGGGGTCACGGCGCGCTGCCAGCTGCGCGGCCCGGAAGGGGGTAACCGCTGGGTCTTTGATCTCCCTTGGTTTCCGCTCCCCGCTGCACTTTGCCAGACCCAAGGGCTTGTTTGTTTTGTCTGGGGAGGTCTCTGCAGAGGGGAGAAAGACATCAAGGGGTTCCACCCCACCTTAGAGGTTCTCAGAGAGGATGCCTGCTCCGCTGGGGACATAGTGGGCCTGTTGTTAAGCTCATCCTGGTCGGGGCAGCCTGGGTGTGGGAAAAGAAAACCCTAGGCCTGGAGTGAGACCAGCTTGCCCCTTGGACCAAATTCTCCGTGACAGCCTCAGTTTCAGCATCTGTAAAATGGAGGCTCGCAGCTTCCCTTTGAGAGCCACAAACGTGATTCTAAGTTTTCTGAAAGTTAGCCACAGTAGGGGGGGAAAAAGTTGAAAGAAATTAATTTTAATAATATATTTTATTTAACTTGCTATATCAAAAATACTCAACATATAATGAGATATTTTAAATTCTTCATTTTGCACTGTTTGAAATCCATGTATTTTACGCTTCATGTACATCTCCACCCAGACTAACTGCATTGCAAGAGACCAGTAACCACAAGGAGCCCATGGCTGAGGTTCGCCGTGCTGAACAGCACAGGTCAGGAGCATCTACACGTCTGAAAGGACGTTAGGAGCTGCGTGGCCATCTGGAGTCATAGACATCTTCATCCAACAGCGTCTTAGCTCCATCCTCCAAAATTCCCTTCTTTACATCCTTTTTAGTGGGAATAAAGGCTAATCTCATAAGCAGGTACATGCTTGCCTGTTTTATATTGCAATTCTTTATTCAGCCCGGGTCTAAATCAGTAATTTTCACCGGGTGTGCCAGGAGAATTTGTAAAACATCCAATTACCTACCCGACTGTTTCATCAGGGGCACTGACCTCTTATCCCTCGGATGGTCAAATAAAAAAATGACAATGGGCAATACAACAATAGCTGTCTGGTGTGAATGAATCAAAAGTATACCTGTTTTGGGGTCAGATTGGCAAAAAATATGTCTTCGGTGTGGCACAGAAATTTAGTCATTAGTTTATGTGTGCCGTGAGATGCAAAAGGTTGAAAATTGCTGGTCTAAGTCACATGTAGACCTCACAATGAACCACTCTCTGAGGCAGGCTTGTGTTTGGTCTACAAAGGAAGGAAACTACTAGGCTCAGAGAGGTGAAGTCACTTGTCCAAGGCCACACAGCAGTCAGCAACCTGGTCAAGAACAAAAGCCAAGCCTGTGGACTCCATTGCCACCCTGTTCCACATCAGGCTGTCCTACCACAATCTGAACGTCACATTCCCCTGCTAGAGAAAGAGTCCCCACTCTAGAAACAAATAGTGAGTCAGTGCCAGCTGCGGGACAAGCCCCGTTTTAGGCACATAAGACACATCAGTGCACAAAACCAAAAATCCTCACTCTCATGGAGCTCGCTCTCCGCTGGGAAGCAGACAGACAAGAAACAGTCGAAGCGACACTCGGGCAAACAGTGTGGGCAATAAGGCAGAAGTCACCAGCAGCCATAGCCTCAGTGGAGGGCAATTTTGCAACCACCCTCCCTCTCTATGGAGGACATTTGGCACAGTCTGGAGCCATGTAGCAAGAAAAGACCAGGACTGCTGCTAAGCATCCCATGGTGCACGAGACGGACCCCCCCAGAGAAGGATGAATCCAGCCCAACATGTCCATCACGCCACCGTGAGAACCCCGAGCTATAGGAAAAGGCCAGAGCAGGATGATGGGTTCAGGGTAGGAGGGAGGTGGGGTTCAAGTGTCTGAACCAGAGTGGGAGCCTTCCTGCAGACGCCCCTCTGAAGGAAATGGCCCTGGGTTGGGATTGCTGTTTGTGTCTCTCTCCCCTACCCCCCACCAGGGCTGGCGTGGTGCGTGGAAATCAAAGCAGAACTCCGAGTGTTCTTTCTCACAGCGCTCAGAAAGTTGGTTACTTCCTTAAATCGGTCATGGCTTTCTTCTTTCATGAGAAAAAAGTATCCCCCCTTCCCTTCGGGAATTTCTTTTTACAGTTCAAAAAGAGATAAAAGCAACAACTAAAACTCTGCAGTTACCAGTTTGAGCCTTAGGGGAAGTAAATCCCAAATGTCCACCCAGACACAAGGCCCCTCCACCTTCAGCCTGGCCCTTCCCAGTCCGGCAGGCGCCAGGGGCTTGCTGTATTGGAATTGAGACACCCCCACTGCCACCACCAACGTGGCCCTGGGCAAGGCACCAAGGCCAGGCCTGTGGTGAAACCCTAGCCTGCCCGGGGCTCCCAGGAGGGGCTCCCCAGGGGACACGAGCCCACCATCCACCTGGGGTGGCCATTCAGTCTCCGGCGGCTTCCCCGAGTCACGACTCACTGTCTTTTCATGCGTTTTAATAATTTATCTGGCCCACTTCTTGGGCTGTATACTTCCAGTGCCACATCTTTTTCTTTGAAGATTTCCCATCCTTTGGGGGAGGAGAATGGGGAAGGAAGGCAAGGAAGAGATAAGAGAGGGAGATTATTACAGAACCGGGTTTCATGGGGCTGGAGGTTTAGCAAGGCTGGCTTAGGTGAAATCTGTCAGATGTGCAGCTGGGAAGCTTGGGGGCAAAAACACCACATCGCCTGGACTGGCCACCCCCACGCTTGTGCCCAGGTTCAGCCATCTGATCTGGTCCCCTTCAAATGCCACTTCCTATAGGAAGCCCTCCCTGACCTTCTAACCTGAAGAGCTCTGACCACTGCGAATAGGCAAGTTCCCCTCCCCTCTTTCTTCTCCTGGCACTCCTTTTTTTTTTTTTTTTAACACTGAAGCTAAAATTTCCTCCTAGAGCCTGGGTTTTCTGGGGCAGGGGGTCTTGCGGGCCTTGCATCTCAGGCTGCAGTACCCAGCACTGCCCACAGGAGGTGCTCTGTGTGGACGCAGAGGAACCCACCCAGCTTACCCTCCCGCCTTGGGGTGGGTTGGGGTCAACAGGAGACTGGGAAGGCTGCCAAGAATGCGATCGGGATATACTAAAGAAAAACATAATACCCAAGTCTCTGCTGGTTGCCACTCGGTGCTCAGAGTTGCTTCTTTCCACAGTCCCCTGGTGAGTGTAGGCATTGCTCGGCGGCTGGAAACCTGGTGTGGCCGAGGGGGGAGTGAAACTGTCCCACGGGAGAAAGTCACTGGGATTTTGGAGATGGCAACCAGGAAAGGGAAGAGAGACATAAACACGGCCTCAGAAGGGGCACAGCAGTGAGGAGGCGGGGACAGCCGGTTAACGCGCAGGGCAGCGATGACTAGTGTGTGATGGGCGGTCGGTCACCTGCTCAGTTCTGTGCCGGACTTACCCTCAGTTACCCAAACCTCAGCAAAACCCTCACCGCACCTCTGGGTTAGAAGGAAAGGAGAGAGGACAGAATGAAAGAATTAGACAGACGGCCCCACGCAGCTCCAACAAGGCAACAGGTCACGGTCTTGAACGGAGATGTTCCACGGGAGAACAGATGGGAGCCAGGAGGAGCCCCGCCCCCAGCATCGGCCTATGGAGATGGGGACAGAGGGTGAGGGCCCAAGCCAGTCTATTCAGGTATTAGAGAAAGGGGGCCCCAAAGATAGTTAGTTCCCGGAGCCTAAATGTGAGCTGATCTGAACTGGACTTTTGTGCTACTGACTCCTCCAGGGTCTAGGGTCTTTTAGCAAGTTCAGAGGGCACACAGGCTTCCCGGGTGATGCTGGGGGGGGGAGAGAGGCCACCCGGCCCTACCACACCCCTGCTCCCCTCTGCCACTGCCCCTCTACCCCGCTTCTCCCAGCTCGTCTGGGAAGCCCTTCCAGTCATGGTGCCAGTCTGCCCATTCACAGGCTGCTTTTACAACGAGGAGAAAGAAACTCCCATCTTGTCAAGCCTTCCCTTTCCAGTTTTGTGCAGTAAACCGACACCTCATCAACACACGCAGCCTCCCCATCTACAAAGCAGAAGGAAGGGTTGCGGAGATCAGCATTTCCCAAAACGGGTTCTGCTGCACTCCGGTTCTGTGCGAAGAGGCCCCACGGGAGACCCAGGGCCACCCTGGCTCGGCCACAGGGAGACGTGTCACCTTCCTGCAGGACGGGTCAGGGCCGCCCGTGGGCAGCCGAGCTGTGCCATTCTCCGAGAGGAGACCGTCCTAAGCGGGGGTTTGTGTTTTGTTTTGTTTTCATTGATTCACCAGACTGAGGAACAGTTTTTAGGAAGTTCAAGTGAAAGCGAGTGGAGCACACTTCAGCAAATGCCCGACTGGTCAGAGATGCCAAGCA